ATTTGAAGGGTCTCCCCATTGAAATACATGGGAAATTTTTGTTGAATAAAGTTGAATAAAATTAAAAATATAAATGTTAAAAATGAGAAAAGTAGAAGCAGTCATGTCCAAAAGAAGAGGAATCTAATGGTGTTTGAATGGTTTTTCTAAGTTGAACGGTTTTGAAGGAGATAGATTACAAAAAACGTACGGAATAGATAATAATAAAATAGAATAAAGATTACAACAACAATACTGTGAATGCTTTTCAAGCATTCACACTAATAAAGATTACAACAACAATACTGTGAATGCTTTTCAAGCATTCACACTAATCATAAAGATTAGAAGAACAATACTGTGAATGCTTGAAAAGCATTCACACTAATTAGAAGAACAATACTGTGAATGCTTTTCAAGCATTCACACTAACTATGAAGGACACAAATATCATATGTGAATGCACATAAGCATTTATGGTGTTGTGCAATAACTTTTGTATACTTGTGTAATCCTTGTTAAATGTTAAAGCTCCTGCTCTTTGTGGCATTATTTAAGGGGGAATGCATCCACAGAGTGACACATTTCACTTTGACTCACACATTTCTTGTGAGACTCACGCCTGTTCTCTCTCTTTTTTAAATTTGAGCCAATCACACATCTGCTTTCCTAACTGCTTATTCACAGTGAGCTGGGGCCTATCCCAGCTGACACAGGGTGACAGGTGGGGTACACACTGGTCAGGTCACCAGTCAAACCACAGCTCGAGGCAGACAAACACACTCTCAAATCAATAAGTATGGCCAATTTAGAATCACCAGTTAATTGAACACGCACGTCCTTGGGAGGAGGCTGGACCCACACAGGAACGAATGTGTTGGAGAACTCTCAGTATAAGGGATAGGAGACAAGGGATAAAAATGCCGTACAGTCCTGCAAAGTAGGACATCTGGTTGACTTAGCAACTATAGAAATGTGTTTCCTGTGATGTGAACAATGTCTGACTCTAGCAAACACATTTCCGTCCTGTACTAAAAGAAGGGTGAGTAAAACTCCGTGGAAAGTGGGATGCCAAACAATAAAACCTAAACTGTTCTGCAGACACAGCACACTGGAAAAAACACAGAATACCTTTTTTCCACTGATGTGGTGCCACAGCTGCTGCTGGTGATGGTACATTGCCAGCTCTGTCAGAGTGCCTCATGCAATCAAGCCTACATTTCAACAGGTTGGAGAGTATGTGGTAAAAAGTTAGGATCATTGTGATGGCCAAACCCGTGGCCACACTCTAAAGTCGGTAACTTTTGTATTTTCAT